GGCTCACACCGGAGCCCGGGACCAGCTTGACAGCGGGAGGGGGAGAGCCGCGGGGGGGGGGCGCACGTCTCGGGGCTTCATACAAGCGATCCGCCGGCTCTATAGCCGGCGGATCGCTTGTATATTAACGGGCATTGCTGCCTCTTTTCAAATAGCGGGGATTTCCCGCCCGAGCGGGCGGATGTAACAGGACGTGTATACACGCCCAGTTACATCCAAGAAGCTCCCGGCAGGCCGTGTATACACAGCGGCTGGCCGGGAGGTAGTTAAAACTGTACCCATTTCATATTGGTGGCATAGATAGAGAGGCACTGCTGCCAGTCTCTCAAGATTTGACTTTTAGAGATGTCATTTCTGTGCTGCTCACTTTTCTCCTTGCTGGAGAAAAGCGAACCTGCAGTGCAAGGATCTTCCTGCTTCTGCTTCATCAATGATCTGTGCTTTCTGCTTTTCCCTTTCTGCTTCTTGAATATTTCCCTTCCAGTCAGCAGATCACCAGTCATTGAGAGAAGGGATGGGGGGCAAACCTAATATTAGAAAGCAAAGCCCTGCCTCTACTATAATGGCTGCCTCCACACAGAAGCACAGAACAAGGCATGGTAAGTCAGTAATGGGAAAAAAAATCAGCTTCACAGGCAATACAGGTGACTAGGTCTTTATCCCGATTTTTTTGGACACAATTTCCAAAGATCTGGTCCTTTTAAATGTGGCCTACATGCCTTTCTTGCTATAAACTGCTTCTACAGCTGTAACTAGATGGATTCATCAGCACTACCTGATTGATCAAAATAATTAATCTTACTGTCACTGATGGTCCAAAAGGACAGTTCACAAGTGTCCTGTTTCCCCATAGTGATTCTCTTTTAGTGTCAGAAATAGAAACAGACCACTACAGTTCAACTGTCGAAAAGTACATTTGAAGAAAATGTCCCTTTGATTGGTTGTTCTGGTTTACAAACTGTCATTTCTTACTTTAGATAGTTTCATACTAGAAGCCCCCAGTGTGTGCAGGAGGATGTGCAAGTGCCACACCAAGGCGTGATTCATCCTGTTGTCACTTTATAACAATTATAGTAAACACATCAGAGGAGTAAACAAGCAAACATGTTCGAAGGAAGGAGATTTCAATTAGAAATGCACAGCTGACTTCTTTCATGTAGCTTACCTTGTTGATAAACGTATACTTCAACACTTTATCAGATTGAAAATTAAGGCGCTGTAACTCCAAGGGCCACCTTGGCAGCCACCAATGGTGAACCTACAGTGGTAAAAGTAGTTAACCAGAAAGGGAAGACATCATGCATGTGTGTGTTTTTGACACGCAAGAACACAAACCTTTCCTTCAAGTTCCTCGTTTTTATTCTGTAGCATCTTTATAACTTCGCTATGCCGTTGTCTCTCGATCTCCACTTCCATGTTTGCTTCTTCATGAAGTCTCCACTCTGTTTCCTTAAGTTTTTGCATGAACGTTTGCTGTTGATTCTCCAGTTCATTCTGGATCTATAAAATGAAAAATACAATACAGTAAACACAATACTAAAATCAAGATTTTTGCGTTTCCTCAGCGAGTAAACAAGAAACACAATTTATGCTTTTCAAAAGAAAATAGAATAGAGCATAATCAACACTGTATACATATGAAGTGTTAATAGATTCAGCAGATTGAATCGATGGAATGAAATGCATTCATGTTCAAACTGAATTGGATTGAAATTTATATGGAACTGAACTGGAGATTAATTTGAACGGATTCAGCATGTTGTACTGGCTTCTTATGTTTATCAGGATATCTGACAAGCCAGTTACAGCCCAGAATAAACAACCTGGGCACACATGTTAAAATCCGATTGTCCAATCCCCTTTAAATTCTCCAACATCTATCTAGTGCAAGGGTCTTCTTGACTGGATATAAATTGAATGGATTCTTTAGGAAGACTGCTGTCCTGGATATACAAATTACAATTTATAGTACAGTTAAGCGGAGTAAATAGTTACATCATTGTTTGCGGTTGAATAAAGGCACAGGTCCATTGAGTTCAGAAGAAAATGTGACTTTGATTGGTTGCTCTGGTTTACAGTCATTTCTTACTTTAGATACATTCAATCGAATGTACAATCTCCTTTAGGTTTATTAAAGCTGTGTAATGTGAGGGTCTACCTAAAATCCATTTGCTTTGTATCCAGGGAAACAAGCTTTTTTGTTACATAGTGGTAGGTCTAAGGGCCTGTTCACACCAATTCCAGTGCGTTCAAGAACACAGGGAGGCTTACAGTATGCGATCCAGTGCATTCCAGAAGCTTACCATCCTGGAACGCACTGGAATTGGTGTGAGCAGGCCCTAAAGGAGAATGCCCATTTGCAATGTATGGAGTAAGTTAAAGACCACTTCTTCAATAAGAGGGACATTTTTAGGAAGTACATTGTACGAAGGAAAATTGGAGATTTGGAGAGGGTTCCAAGGTGTACAACTAAATTTAGTAAAGGGATGAGATGTCTGTGCTATACTTATGAAAGATTAGAGAAAACTGTAAAGGTTCAATGCGGAAATAAGATATTGAAACAGTAATTAATATACATAATAAACCTTTTATCCCAAGGACTGTACAAAGGAGCATTAGACATATGGGTTGCTTTTTAAAGGAAATAAAGAACAGGTGCAATTATTTCTGTATAAATCATTTTTTTTAATAGCAGCCGCAGCCTAGCCAGTCACTAGTCCATCTTTACTGTGCAAAAGTTTTAGACAGGTGTGAAAAAATGCTGTAAAGTAAGAACACTTTCAGAAATAAAAGTGTTAGTTTATTTTTTTTATCAATGAACAAAGTGGAAAGTGAAAGAACAGATGAGAAATCCAAATCAAATCAATAGTTGCTGTGACCACCCTTTGCCTCCAAAACAGCATCAGTTCCTCTAGGTAAACTTGCACACAGTTTTTGTAGGAACTCAGCAGGTGGGTTGTTACAAACATCTTGCAGAACGAACCACAGATCTTCTGTGGATGTTGGCTGCCTCAAATCCTCCTGTCTCTTCATGTAATTCCAGACTCAATGATGTTAAAATCAGGGCTCTGTGGGGGCCAAACCATCAGTTCCAGGACTCTTTTCTCATCTTCTTCTTTACAAGGAAGATAGTTCTCAGTGACATTGGCTGTATGTTTGGGGTCTTTGCCCGGCTGCAGAATAAATTTGGGGCCAATCACATGCCTCCCTGATGGAAAGGCATGATGGATAAGTATCTGCTTGTATTTCTCAGCAATGAGGACACCATTGATCCTGACCAAATCTCCAACTCCATTGGCAGAAATGCAGCCCCTGACTTGCAGGGAACCTCCACCATGCTTCACTGTTGCCTGCAGACACTCATTATTGTACCGCTCTCAAGCCCTTTGGTGAACAAACTGCCTTCTGCTACAGCCAAATATTTTAAATATTGACTCATCAGTCCAGAGCACCTGCTACCATTTTTCTGCACCCCAGTTCCTATGTTTTCATGCATAGTTGAGTCACATAGCCTTGTTTTCCCCGTCGGAAGTATGGCTTTTTTTGCTTCAATACTTCCATGAAGACCACTTTTGGCCAGACAGTAGATGGGTATACCTGGGTCCCTCTGGTTTCTGCCAGTCCGATGGCACTGCTGGACATCTTCAGATGTAGAGGGAAGTAAGCAGTATGTGTCTTTCATCTGCTGCATTAAGTTTCCTTGGCCGACCACTGCGTCTACGGTCTTCAAAGTTGCCAGCTTCTTTGTGCTTCTTCAAAAGAGCTTGAACAGCACATCTTGAACCTCAGTCTGCTTTGAAATCTTTGCCTGGGAGAGACCTTGGTGATGCAGTATAGCTACCCTGTGTCTTGTTGCTGTGCTCAGTCTTGCCATGGTGTATGACCTGTGACATGAAACTGTCTTTTACAATCTCACCTTAGTAGCAGAGTTTGGCTATTCCCTACCCAGTTTTAAGCCTCCTACACAGCTGTTTCTGTTTCAAATAATGACTGTTTCAACCTACAGTACATATAAAAATTGATGATCATTAGCACCTTCTTGGTATAATTGGTTAATCATACACCTGACTCTAAAGGTGCCCATACACCTTACGATTATCGAACAAAACTTTTCGTCTGAGGATCGAATAGTCATACGATTTTCGTACAGCAGCCCCATCCTGCCCCGATGATCGCAAGATTCATTTAGCCGTAATTAACGAAAAGCACCTTGACGAAATGCGGTAATCGATTTGCCGTATTTTCGTTAGCGCAAGCGCAGTGTAGATCGTACGACTTTTGACGGACGGAAACGCCAGCAACCTTGCGAAAATCGTACGATCTAGCAAAGTTTTCAAACATGTACGATTGTACAGTACTGTCGGTCGGACACTGCAATGCACACATATACGATTATTGGCCGAAAAGTCGATCGCATATGAAAATCGTCCGATAATCGTAAGGTGTATGGGCACCTTTATCCTACAAAATCCCCGGACTTTGTGCAAGTGTAAGAATTGATGCTGGTTTGAAGCCAATGGGTAGTCACACCAAATATTGATTTGATTTAGATTCTTCTTCTGTTCACAGAATTCCCTGTTGCTCCCAACTGTCATGGCCATTACAAAGCTGAGTGAGCGTGTCTTGCTACCATGATAGTTTCTTCATAATGTTAATACAAAATAACCAGGAAATCTAGTATGTAAGATGTGACTTTTGGGATAGGCTGAAGATACAAACTTAAGCCTGCTATTAGAGGTTTCCAATAGCAATACTGTTGGAGCATATCAGATGTACGCAGCAGAAAACAACAGTGCCCAACAATAAAAAAGAAATCTTTGCGTAGATTTGACTGTTAGCTAACTAAATAAAGTCATAAACAGCACTTAAAGAGGAGCTGTACCAGGACAATTTACAAACAAATACTTCTAGATAATTGCAGGCTTTTTATTCTTTGCATACCTTATTTTTTTTTTCTTCCCCAGTCATCTGACAGTGGCCATTGTAACAAAGGGCAGATTGCTATATTTCCCTTTACTTCCTGAAACCCCGAGACACGTGACTAGGACATGTGACCATGCACATCATCTCAGGGGAGGAAAATGGCTTTCCCTTAGATCTTGTGAGATTACAGATGAGATTTCCAAGCAATGCTCTGCAGATGTAACCTTCCCAGGATGCAATGCTTGGGCACAGATTACATAATTTGTGCCAAAGTGGACCAGGAAGTGGAAAAAAGAAATTGTAAGTAAAATAAAAGTATGTTTGTTTAGCTATTGAATGTAAGATTATTTCATATCATCTGATGGGATTTTTAGTGAAAGGGGCTAAAGGTCAACTTTAAGATACCAGACAAAACAGCATATGACTCTAATAAGGGAGAAACAGGATTGTGTTTAGAGAATCGAATAGTGTGTTCTCTATTGATAAGGCAAGGCAGACATAATGCAGGCCAGACATTCACTATGCACAATATGTAGTTTGTATTATTAGCACCACAGTAAGAACATGCTTGTCATACTGTGAGAAAAATGTGGGCTTTGTACACATAACACAGGAAATCTAAAATTACATTCAATTTCTAGGTACTGAACTAACAGTAAATACATTATCAAAAGCCCCTAAAAGTAAATATGTGTTCTGCAAACTGACAGAAAATATGATTTTCCTGGTTTGGTCTACATATAAACAGTCTTGGGTTTAGCTGACAACAGCATCATTGTTGACGTCATTTCCAGGAAAGGACTGGACTGAATGGTTCAATGTTCTCTGTAAGTGCTGCAGAAAAGATTCAATGAGTAACATAATAACATAAATACAATTCCGGAACATTTATTGTCCTCTGGAGCAGGTGTCTATATACATATGAAGTCGCAGCAAGCAATGAATCATGCCGATGAATCCTGCCTTGTGTGATTTGTGTTATTCCCGTATGGAAAGCCAGGTGCATGCAAAGAAAGACTGGACAAAAATGATGCAGAGCATATTACATCATCGACTCCTGTTTTCCAACCAGTAATAGCATAGTGTGAATGCCTTCAATCTGGCTTTTACGCCACTTAGCTCCCAGGCAATTTGTTCGCCAAGCCCTGTGGTTACTTATTGAAATGTTTTACATGCATACATGTATTATATACATTTATTCTTGTACTGCATGCAATAGAATTAAATACAAGGTCTAAGTTTTAGTCAACATAAGCACCAGATGCTAAAGTACAGACACTGCCTGTGTTTGAAATTGCTGACCAGTCCCCCATTTAGGATTCTACTGAGCTGAGCTTATTCAAGGAGGAATTCGGGAGACTGAGGTCTGCAACATCAAGCTTAGTTTGCAGTAGTTCTTTCATGACAAAGCTGTCAACAACCAATGTCTCACCTTGAGCAACATGCTCTGGCTTTGTTAAGGTTTGCAAGAGTTCTTAGAGAGTTTTCTGAAGGCATCTGCCTTCCCCAAACAATGGTCACAGCAGTCTCTTAATTGCCCTTGAGCACTAAGTTTTTGAGGTACACACCACACCCTT